ACCGAAAGACCCAAGAATATCATCACCTAGCCAGTGAACTGGAACACGTACACCAAGCTCTCAAGACGAATGGATATTCAGACTACACAATCCGTAAAGCTATCACCCCAAGCTTTGGGAAAGAACCATCTGAAGACCCAATCAAAACCATCACCTTGACATTCATAGCAGGGATCACCAAAAATATTTACAAAATCTTGAGCAAACACAAGATACAGGTTCGATTTAACACAGTACATAAAATTCGTGATCTGATCCCATCTGTGAAGGATGTGATCCCTGACACGCAAAACCCCGGCGTCTACAAACTAAGCTGTGTCTGCGGCAGTAGTTACATTGGGGAAACTAAGTGACATGTCTCGGACTGTGTTCGTGAACATAAGACAGATCTGAAACACGGTAGGACCAACACTTCGGCCGTGGCTGATCATTGTTTTAATGCGGTTGGCTCACATGAAATTGATTTCTCTAATACGAATGTACTTTGCAAGCCCACTGGCCATCAACAAAGATTTGTTCATGAAGACCATCCATATATATACAGACATAGACACAATTTCAACCAAGAGGATGGGTACAAACTCAGCAATCAATGGAAGGACGTCATCAACAAGTTTAAGTCATAACTGGCTATGATGTTTACATTTTAGCACTCTCCGAGGCTGACCAGTTTTTTAATCCCTCACATTGACGTAAACTTCTCCACTCATGCTGCCCCAAGGCTCTTGTGCCCCACCCACTCTGTTCTGACACTTGGGCTATGCCCATTTTAAACCTTTATAAACAGTTTCCCTTTAGAGGCTTACCCACTTTTTTCTCCACCTGATGACGATCGCTTGTGTTGCGATCGAAACATCGTAGTTTTTTGTAATTTTTTTACATATCTACGCGACTTTACCAAAAGACCCAAAGAATACAATGTGTGCTTGTCAGGAGAAGCAAACCGTGGATCATCTTCTGATGCCCTGCAGCAACCACAATACACTTCCTCAAGATTTGGCAATGCCAAACACCAGAAGCCTGTGCAGAATATTTGGAAAATACAATAGAGGTTGGACAAGAGAAATGACGAAGAAGTGGAGTGCAGCGCTAACCACACTCACGCAATCACCCATGCACTCAACAACAACAGCAGCCATTCGTTACGAAGTGATAGTGATGTCACCCTGATGCTTGTGCCAGGCTAGCTGCACTTTGAGGACATGTGAAATGTCGAGGGCTCTCTGCTGACAGAAGGTCACGACCCAGGTGTCATGGGTTGACTGACTAAGATGACTGGAAGATGCACCACCTGTGCCCCCTACTGTGCCAACTTGCTGCGTTTTAGCCGCCTGGCACTCCACTCGTTGTGAGCATCGCTTGCCCTCCCCTCTCTTGCTGGAGAGCGACTGCCTTCAACTGCCCAGTAGCGTCCTTCACGAGCCTCCTCCTCCACAGAGGCCGATCTTGACACCGCTGGTACCGGTCATCGGCAAGTCCACTCAGCTCCACATCCTCCTGTACCAGATCAGTTAATGTCTTCTCCAGCCCGTGCCGTGCCCATTTAGCCTCCTCTATCTAGCCAACCAAAAGCTGTTTGGGCATGCAATGGCTGGGCATGCAGGCTACGTTACCCAGCCAACACAGCATCACCTGCCGGAGGAGCTCACTGATGGAATTGTGTCTAGATATTTCAAGGATCTGTTAACTCCTCCCACAATCCAGCCTGGTTTAACCCAGGATGGATTGTAGGCAAGCCAGCCTGAATGTTTCTAACCGGAAACCGATGTTCCATTACAGGGGTTCACGTTTCGCAAGCAACGAGAAGGAGAGAAGACCCTAAGCTTTGTGTGCAGCGACAGACCAGGTAGCTCCCACACATAGTAGCAGTAGCGGAGGAACAGGGAGGTAACGAGCACTCTCACTAGGTACAGTCGGTAGTGATCACAGTAGCGGAGAGACAGGGAGGTGACTGGCTCTCTCACTAGGTACAGTCGGTAGTGATCACAGTAGCGGAGAGACAGGGGAGGTAACTGGCTCTCTCATTAGGTACAGTCGGTAGTGATCACAGTAGCGGAGAGACAGGGAGGTGACTGGCTCTCTCATTAGGTACAGTCGGTAGTGATCACAGTAGCGGAGAGACAGGGGAGGCAACTGGCTCTCTCATTAGGTACAGTCGGTAGTGATCACAGTAGCAGTAGCGGAGAGACAGGGAGGTGACTGGCTCTCTCGTTAGGTACAGTCGGTAGTGATCACAGTAGCGGAGAGACAGGGGAGGTGACAAACTCTCTCATTAGGTACAGTCGGCAGTGATCACAGTAGCAGTGGCGGAGAGACAGGGGAGGTGACTGGCTCTCTCGTTAGGTACAGTCGGTAGTGATCACAGTAGCAGTAGCGGAGAGGCAGGGAGGTAACTGGCTCTCTCATTAGGTACAGTCGGTAACGATCACAGTAGCGGAGAGACAGGGGAGGTGACTGGCTCTCTCACTAGGTACAGTCGGTAGTGATCACAGTAGCGGAGAGACAGGGGAGGTGACTGGCTCTCTCGTTAGGTACAGTCGGTAGTGATCACAGTAGCGGAGAGACAGGGGAGGCAACTGGCTCTCTCATTAGGTACAGTCGGTAGTGATCACAGTAGCAATAGCGGAGAGACAGGGGAGGCAACTGGCTCTCTCATTAGGTACAGTCGGGTAGTGATCACAGTAGCAATAGCGGAGAGACAGGGGAGGCAACTGGCTCTCTCATTAGGTACAGTCGGGTAGTGATCACAGTAGCAGTAGCGGAGAGACAGGGAGGCGACTGGCTCTCTCACTAGGTACAGTCGGTAGTGATCACAGTAGCGGAGAGACAGGGGAGGTGACTGGCTCTCTCATTAGGTACAGTCGGTAGTGATCACAGTAGCAGTAGCGGAGAGACAGGGAGGTGACTGGCTCTCTCACTAGGTACAGTCGGTAGTGATCACAGTAGCGGAGAGACAGGGGAGGTGACTGGCTCTCTCATTAGGTACAGTCGGTAGTGATCACAGTAGCAGTAGCGGAGAGACAGGGGAGGCGACTGGCTCTCTCACTAGGTACAGTCGGTAGTGATCACAGTAGCGGAGAGACAGGGAGGTGACTGGCTCTCTCATTAGGTACAGTCGGTAGTGATCACAATAGCGGAGAGACAGGGGAGGTGACTGGCTCTCTCACTAGGTACAGTCGGTAGTGATCACAGTAGCGGAGAGACAGGGGAGGTGACTGGCTCTCTCGTTAGGTACAGTCGGTAGTGATCACAGTAGCGGAGAGACAGGGGAGGTGACGAACTCTCTCATTAGGTACAGTCGGTAGTGATCACAGTAGCAGTAGCGGAGAGACAGGGGAGGCGACTGGCTCTCTCGTTAGGTACAGTCGGGTAGTGATCACAGTAGCAGTAGCGGAGAGACAGGGAGGCGACTGGCTCTCTCACTAGGTACAGTCGGTAGTGATCACAGTAGCGGAGAGACAGGGGAGGCAACTGGCTCTCTCATTAGGTACAGTCGGGTAGTGATCACAGTAGCAGTAGCGGAGAGACAGGGGAGGCGACTGGCTCTCTCACTAGGTACAGTCGGTAGTGATCACAGTAGCGGAGAGACAGGGGAGGTGACTGGCTCTCTCATTAGGTACAGTCGGTAGTGATCACAATAGCGGAGAGACAGGGGAGGTGACTGGCTCTCTCATTAGGTACAGTCGGTAGTGATCACAGTAGCGGAGAGACAGGGGAGGTGACTGGCTCTCTCACTAGGTACAGTCGGTAGTGATCACAGTAGCGGAGAGACAGGGAGGTGACGAACTCTCTCACTAGGTACAGTCGGTAGTGATCACAGTAGCAGTAGCGGAGAGACAGGGAGGCGACTGGCTCTCTCGTTAGGTACAGTCGGGTAGTGATCACAGTAGCAGTAGCGGAGAGACAGGGGAGGTGACTGGCTCTCTCACTCGGTACAGTCGGTAGTGATCACAGTAGCAGTAGCGGAGAGACAGGGGAGGTGACTGGCTCTCTCACTAGGTACAGTCGGTAGTGATCACAATAGCGGAGAGACAGGGGAGGCGACTGGCTCTCTCACTAGGTACAGTCGGTAGTGATCACAGTAGCGGAGAGACAGGGGAGGTGACTGGCTCTCTCACTAGGTACAGTCGGTAGTGATCACAGTAGCGGAGAGACAGGGGAGGTGACTGGCTCTCTCATTAGGTACAGTCGGTAGTGATCACAGTAGCGGAGAGACAGGGGAGGCAACTGGCTCTCTCATTAGGTACAGTCGGTAGTGATCACAGTAGCAGTAGCGGAGAGACAGGGGAGGTGACTGGCTCTCTCACTAGGTACAGTCGGTAGTGATCACAGTAGCGGAGAGACAGGGGAGGTGACTGGCTCTCTCACTAGGTACAGTCGGTAGTGATCACAGTAGCGGAGAGACAGGGGAGGTGACTGGCTCTCTCGTTAGGTACAGTCGGTAGTGATCACAGTAGCAGTAGCGGAGAGACAGGGGAGGCAACTGGCTCTCTCGTTAGGTACAGTCGGTAGTGATCACAGTAGCAGTAGCGGAGAGACAGGGGAGGTGACTGGCTCTCTCACTAGGTACAGTCGGCAGTGATCACAATAGCGGAGAGACAGGGGAGGTGACTGGCTCTCTCATTAGGTACAGTCGGTAGTGATCACAATAGCGGAGAGACAGGGGAGGTGACTGGCTCTCTCACTAGGTACAGTCGGCAGTGATCACAGTAGCGGAGAGACAGGGGAGGTGACTGGCTCTCTCATTAGGTACAGTCGGTAGTGATCACAGTAGCAGTAGCGGAGAGACAGGGAGGCGACTGGCTCTCTCACTAGGTACAGTCGGTAGTGATCACAGTAGCGGAGAGACAGGGGAGGTGACTGGCTCTCTCACTAGGTACAGTCGGTAGTGATCACAGTAGCAATAGCGGAGAGACAGGGAGGTGACTGGCTCTCTCACTAGGTACAGTCGGTAGTGATCACAGTAGCGGAGAGACAGGGGAGGTGACTGGCTCTCTCACCGGGTTGCCCACACAGCTGACGCAGCGCCTTCACCCACGCGTGCATCTCGTGCGCCGAGTCGGCCTCCAGCACGTAGACTCGCTCCGGCGTGCGCAGGCCGAACACAAAGCCCAGGGGCGAGGGCGGCTCCACCGCGGTGCCTCCGCTCCTCTCGTGAGCCGCCACGTCCTCCCCCTGCGACCGAGTCGTCGGGAGTCGGAATCGGTGTTGGTTAGACTATGAACCAACTAATTAAACTTTTTTTTTTTTTTGCCAGGTGTGAGGCCCCACTGAGCTGCGTAGACATGGCCATCGCGTAACGATAGCTCAGCTAAGTTGGCTTTATCGTCCTCGTGTGGGAATGTACAGCAGCAGCAGCCAAATACTCGAAATGCGTGGCGTCGATTCTAAATGTGGAGGGAAAAACCGGAGGACCCGGAGAAAAATCCACACGATCACAGGGAGAGAGACACGCGAACTTCACATACAGAGTATTTGATCCCCTGCTGATTTTGCAAGTTTGCCCACTGACAAAAAAATGATCAGTCTATAATTTTAATGGTAGGGTTATTTGAACAGTGAGAGACAGAATAACAACAAAAAAATCCATAAAAACGCATGTCAAAAATGTTACAAATTGATTGGCATTTTAATGAGGGAAATAAGTATTTGACCCCCTCTCAATCAGAAAGATTTCTGGCTCCCAGGTGTCTTTTATACAGGTAACGAGCTGAGATTAGGAGCACACTCTTAAAGGGAGTGCTCCTAGTCTCAGCTTGTCACCTGTATAATAGACACCTGTCCACAGAAGCAATCAATCAATCAGATTCCAAACTCTCCACCATGGCCAAGACCAAAGAGCTCTCCAAGGATGTCAGGGACAAGATTGTAGACCTACATAAGGCTGGAATGGGCTACAAGACCATTGCCAAGCAGCTTGGTGAGAAGGTGACAACAGTTGGTGCGATTATTCGTAAATGGAAGAAACACAAAAGAACTGTCAATCTCCCTCGGCGTGAGGCTCCATGCAAGATCTCACCTCGTGGAGTTGCAATGATCATGAGAACGGTGAGGAATCAGCCCACAACTACACGGGAGGATCTTGTCAATGATCTGAAGGCAGCTGGGACCATAGTCACCAAGACAACAATTGGTAACACACTATGCCGTGAAGGACTGAAATCCTGCAGCGCCCACAAGGTCCCCCTGCTCAAGAAAGCACATATACATGCCCGTCTGAAGTTTGCCAATGAACATCTGAATCATTCAGAGGACAACTGGGTGAAAGTGTTGTGGTCAGATGAGACCAAAATGGAGCTCTTTGGCATCAACTCAACTCGCCGTGTTTGGAGGAGGAGGAATGCTGCCTATGACCCCAAGAACACCATCCCCACCGTCAAACATGGAGGTGGAAACATTATCCTTTGGGGGTGTTTTTCTGCTAAGGGGACAGGACAACTTCACCGCATCAAAGGGACGATGGACGGGGCCATGTGCCGTCAAATCTTGGGTGAGAACCTCCTTCCCTCAGCCAGGGCATTGAAAATGGGTCGTGGATGGGTATTCCAGCATGACAATGACCCAAAACACACGGCCAAGGCAACAAAGGAGTGGCTCAAGAAGAAGCACATTAAGGTCCTGGAGTGGCCTATCCAGTCTCCAGACCTTAATCCCATAAAAAATCTGTGGAGGGAGCTGAAGGTTCGAGTTGCCAAACGTCAGCCTCGAAACCTTAATGACTTGGAGAAGATCTGCAAAGAGGAGTGGGACAAAATCCCTCCTGAGATGTGTGCAAACCTGGTGGCCAACTACAACAAACGTCTGACCTCTGTGATTGACAGCAAGGGTTTTGCCACCAAGTACTGAGTCATGTTTTGCAGAGGGGTCAAATACTTATTTCCCTCATTAAAATGCAAATCAATTTATAGCATTTTTGACATGCGTTTTTCTGGTTTGTTTTGTTGTTATTCTGTCTCTCACTGTTCAAATAAACCTACCATTAAAATTATAGACTGATGATTTATTTGTCAGTGGGCAAACGTACAAAATCACCAGGGGATCAAATACTTTTTTCCCTCACTGTACAGCAGGCGTCAGAGTGGGGAGTGATGACGCTGCATGTGATGACGCTGCGTGTGATGACGCTGTGTGTGATGACGCTGTGTGTGATGACGCTGTGAGTGTTGACGCTGTGTGTGATGACGCTGTGAGTGATGACTCTGTGTGTGACGACGCTGTGTGTGACGACGCTGTGAGTGATGACGCTGCGAGTGATGACGCTGCGAGTGATGACGCTGCGTGTGATGACGCTGTGTGTGATGACGCTGTGTGTGATGACGCTGTGAGTGATGACTCTGTGTGTGATGACTCTGTGTGTGATGATGCTGTGAGTGTTGACGCTGTGTGTAATGACGCTGTGAGTGATGAAGCTGCGTGTGACGACGCTGTGAGTGATGACGCTGCGAGTGATGACGCTGCGAGTGATGACGCTGCGAGTGATGATGCTGTGTGTGATGACGCTGTGTGTGATGACGCTGTGTGTGATGACGCTGCGAGTGATGACTCTGTGTGTGATGATGCTGTGTGTGATGACGCTGTGAGTGATGACTCTGTGTGTGATGACGCTGTGAGTGATGACGCTGTGAGTGATGACGCTGTGTGTGATGACGCTGTGAGTGATGACGCTGTGAGTGATCACGCTGTGTGTGATGATGCTGTGTGTGATGACTCTGTGAGTGATGATGCTATGTGTGATGACGCTGTGTGTGATGACGCTGTGTGTGATGACGCTGTGTGTGATGACGCTGTGAGTGATCACGCTGTGTGTGATGACGCTGTGTGTGATGACTCTGTGAGTGATGATGCTATGTGTGATGACGCTGTGAGAGATGACGCTGTGTGTGATGACGCTGTGAGTGATGACTCTGTGTGTGATGATGCTGTGAGTGATGACACTGTGAGTGATGACGCTGTGTGTGATGACGCTGTGTGTGATGACGCTGTGTGTGATTACTCTGTGAAAGATTACGCTGTGTGTGATGACGCTGTGTGTGATGACGTTCGTAAGTGCGGGACGTTCCTAAGTGTGGACGTTTGCAAGTACGGGGACTGCCTGTAAATCTCTACAAGATGTTTCACAAAGTTGAGTTTGAGACCAACACCGCCCACCCCCCCGTCCCCCGCCCACCGGACTCGCCTGGGACGCGGCAGAGACGGCGGGGACCCCCCCCGCTCCCGGTCGGCGTTGGCCCTCGCGGGGGGCCCGCTGGGGGTCCCACGCGAGCGCCGAGCACTGCCGGAGGGGGATGCAGCGCAGCGGGCAGCGGGCGCGGGGCCCCTTGAAGTACTCGAGTCGGTCCGAGTCGCCCGTCAGGCGGCCGCTCTTCAGCACGAACCACCGCCGCTTCCACTGCCACGCACACAGCCACGCGCAGACACGCACAGACTCAATCTCACACACACACACAGACTCAATCTCACACACACACACAGCCATGCATAGACACGCACAGACTCAATCACACACACAGCCACGCACAGACACGCACAGACTCAATCTCACACACACAGCCACGCACGGACACGCACAGACTCAATCTCACACACACAGCCACGCACGGACACGCACAGACTCAATCTCACACACACACACGCACAGACTCACACAGACTCAATCTCACACACACACACAGACACGCACAGACACGCACAGACTCAATCACACACACACACAGCCATGCACAGACTCAATCACACACAGCCACGCACAGACTCAATCTCACACCCACACACAGACACGCACAGACTCAATCTCACACACACACACACACAGACATAGGTCCCCCGTGTAGCCTTCAATGGAGCGTCTGGGCAAGTGCTGTCAGTATCGAGCAGCGTCTAACACAGGTGGCTAGATACAGATGGACGACATGCATAGACACAGGCACAGGTCCAATGTGTAGCCTTCAAAGGAGCGTCGGAGCAAGTGCTGTTAGTGGCGCGTAGCACCTAACACAGACTCATAGATGCACACAGACTCGGACAAGCATGGACACAGACTCGCACACAAGGACAACAACCTCAACCACCATAACAGAAAAGACAAACATCCCCGGAATAGCCTTAACAGACTGTTGGGGTCAAGTGCTGTTACCGAGCAGCACCGATGAAGACCGGCACGGCACACGAGGGGGTGGGTGGCCAGCACCGCGCCAGGCCGCCTTTGTCTCCGCAGTGCACATCGCACCAGGTACTGAGTTCAGACCAGTTCAGATCATCGCCACTGGCATTTGTGGCCGTGAGCGGGAGTCGAATTCGGGTGACTGGGTTCGTGGTGCAGCGCGTTGACCCACTGTGCCACTGTGTAAGAAACCAGCAGTTCCTTAGGAACTGCACTGTGGCCATCTTGTCCTAAAGTCTCCACCGATTGAAATGCCCACATGCAACTGGCAGCTGTGGGAGAGAAACAACCGCTGGCTGGTTTCTACCCTCATTAGGGACTCATCGGTACAGAAGCAGCCACCGGTGCGTTCGCTGCGTGTTGGGAGATTTGTGCTTCGTATCCAGCAGGCCGTCCCGGTTAATGCCGCAGGTTTCAATATAACTCTTAAGATGCAACAACACCCCGATTTACTCCCGCCCGCTGCATGTACTCTCGCTACGACGTACTCAACGTGGTGATACGTCCCCAGGTCCCCGAACAGAGCGCTCAAGATGATGTTTTTATTTATTTTATCGATTGCAGGGAACGGGGCGGCGGGTCGGCTTCCAGGAATCGGGGCCACGGCAGCTCCGGAAACTCTCTCTGACGTCACCGCGGCAGAAACACCGAGTCACTACCACCACCAACCACCACCACAGGCAAAGGTCCCCCGTGTAGCCTTCAACAGAACGTCGGGGCAAGTGCTGTTCGTAGTGACTACCAGCGCCTATGAATGCCGGCGCTGTGGCACACGAGCGGGGTGGTTGTGGCCAGAACCACGCCCGCCCAGCTGCCTTTGTCTTCCCAGTGGCGATGTTTACAACACACAGCACCAGGTACTGAGTCGACCTAGGGGAGGCCCAGGACCCGTTCAGATAGTCGTCACTGGTGTTGGTGGCCGTGAGTGGGAATTGAACGTGGGTCGCCAGTTTTGTAGTGTACCGCGTCAACCACTGTGCCACCACCCCGCACCACCACCATCATGACGAGAGGCCGGCAGAAACCCCACCAAGTGGCGTAACAACCCCACCTACACCCTCCACTGTTGTGTCAGGCTATGTGGACTCCCAAGGCCACGTGAAGTGTCGAAGGCTCTCTGCTGACAGGAGGTCACCGGACAGACCCAGGTGCCATGAGTTGACTGAGACGACTGGCAGATGCACCACCTGTGCCCCGACTATGCTTTAGCCACCCCAGCGCTCCGATTGTTGTTGTGAGTGTTGCTCCTATGCCCTCCATTGTTGCTGGAGGGCGACTGCCTCCAACTGCCCAGCAGCGTCCTTCACGAACCTCCTCCACAGAGGCAGATCTTGACACTGTTGGCTCTATCAATCGGCAAGTAAACCCAGCTCCACATCCTCCTGTACCGCATCAGGCATTCACTTCTCTACCTGGTGCCATGCCCATTTAGCCCCCTCTATCTGGCCAAACAGAAGTTGCTTGGGCATGCAGTGGCTGGGCATACGGGTTACATGACCCAGCCAATGCATCCTCACCTGCCAGGAGCTCATTGATGGGACTGTGTCCAGACCTATCAAGGATCTGTGCGCTCCTCACACAATCCAATCTGGTTAAACCCAGGATGGTTTGTAGGTCGGTTAGCTTGAATGTTTATAACGGGTGCAGATGTCCCTTTAAAGGAGTTCACATTGTGCAAGCGTAGAGCAGGGAGGGCATGACTGTGGCCGAGAAGTCCCAAACCTTTGTCTGGAGCAACAGGCTAGGTAGCTTCCACACAGCATTACACAGCCAATTCAATATAATGCCGCTCCAATTATTCGGAGTGAGACCTCCGCTGTCAAACCGGAGCTAGTCGTAAGCCACACAGGCCAGGTACAGAAACTTCTCCACAACTGCCCCATCACTCATGGGGCGTTGAGGGGGTGGAGTGTTTGGTGGTGCAAAATGCCCAGGCAGGTGCTTAGTTTTTGTGGGGCTAATGGTAAGGCCCCACTTCTAAATGGCATGCTCCAGGTTTATACACAATTTGGAATCACGAGCATTTAATGTAGCTGCTACAAAGTGTTTGCAACCAACCAGTTTCGTTTCTTGGCCATCTCCAATCTCTGTCACCATTTAAACTGATTGCAAACTGACCGAAAATGTTCAACACAATTGTTTTCATTGAGCTCTAATAACCTCTATTGAATATTAACCTCCATTTTTTATAAAGCACCTTTCATATCGATAAGTGGCTTATTATCATCATGTGGAAATGTATCGCAGCCAAATACTCGAAACACTTAACGTCGATTCTAAATGTGGAGGGAAAAACCAGAGGACCCGGAGAAAAATCCACGCAACTACCATGGGGAGAGAGGGAGAGACACTCAAACTACAAATATACAGCAGGCATGACCAGGGTTGGGAGCGAACCCACAACTTCCTGTATACCAGTTAAGGGAGATAACTCCCCCCACCCCCCCCCGCCAACCACAACGGCGCCCTTAAACAGTTACACAGGCTTCAAATCTAGAGTTACACAGGATCCCTAATGGACCGATGAAGAGGATTCCACACAAACACAAAACCCAACTCGTGGAGTTGTCAAGGTTCGATGCTTTGCTGCTGCTGATATCTGCAGGCCGAGTCATTCAACCCTGACAAAGAGTTCCACAGCTCAATGGGCTTAACCCAATGGGGGAACACAACAGGGCCTCTGTAGCGATTCAATCACAACCAGAAGTACCCACCCAACGTCATGGACACGGCATTCGTGGCGTGGGCAGTCAGGAAGTAAAAACAAGCCCCTCTGATTGGTAACTTAACGGGGCCTGAAAGGCGATTGGTTAGATCTTGATTTAAAGCTTTCGTGACTGCAGGAATTCACAATCTTTGGGTCTTTCGGTAAAGTCGCGTAAACATAAATAATAGATCACGACGTTTCGATGGCAACACAATAAATCGTCTTCTCTCACCTGAAGACGATTGCTTGTGTTGCCAGCGAAACGTCGTGATCTATTGCTATTTACGTGACTTGACTGAACGACCCAAAGAGTGTGATTGGTTAGAGTCAGGGAATTTAAGGTACTGGAGGAGAAATTCAAAAGGGAAAGACCGGGAACGGAGGATGATTGACAGGGAAGGACGGTTGGGATACGTTAGGAAACATGGGGAGGTGATTGGCTGCAGGGAATGCGGAAGGTCAAATAACCTTCGGCAAAGGGGGCTTAAGGGATATATGTAAGTGGGGGGAAATGCGAGAGAGTTCGGGACGCTTGGAGTGAAGGGAATCCTTGAATACCGCGCGTCTTGTGCTGGATGAAAGACTCCTATTACAAAGGCTCCTCTACTCACGAACGAGTTAGGTTCCAGATGTCCGCTCGTATGTTGATGTGTTCATAAGACAAACTTTACTCCTGTCCATTAGAAACGTGTTGTATGGCATGTACACTGAACACGGAGAATGCCTTTACAAGTTGTATAGTCTCCTGCAGATGTATATGCCACTGATTCTTCATGTTCTGGAGATGTAGATACCACTGTTTCTTCACGTTCTAAAGATGTAGATGCCACTGGCTCTTCATGTTCTGCAGATGTAGATGCCACTGGTTCTTAAAGTTCTAAAGATGTAGATGCCACTGGTTCTTCAAGTTCTAAAGATGTAGATGCCACTGGTTCTTCACGTTCTGCAGATGTAGATGCCACTGGCTCTTCGTGTTCTGCAGATGTAGATGCCACTGGTTCTTCAAGTTCTAAAGATGTAGATGCCACTGGTTCTTCACGTTCTAAAGATGTAGATGCCACTGGCTCTTCATGTTCTGCAGATGTAGATGCCACTGGTTCTTCAAGTTCTAAATATGTAGATGCCACTGGTTCTTCAAGTTCTAAAGATGTAGATGCCACTGGTTCTTCACGTTCTAAAGATATAGATGCCACTGGTTCTTCACGTTCTAAAGATGTAGATGCCACTGGTTCTTCATGTTCTAAAGATGTAGATGCCACTGGTTCTTCACGTTCTAAAGATGTAGATGCCACTGGCTCTTCATGTTCTGCAGATGTAGATGCCACTGGTTCTTCATGTTCTAAAGATGTAGATGCCACCGGCTCTTCATGTTCTGCAGATGTAGATGCCACTGGTTCTTCGTGTTCTGGAGATGTAGATGCCACTGGCTCTTCATGTTCTGGAGATGTAGATGCCACTGGCTCTTCATGTTCTGGAGATGTAGATGCCACCACCGCCATCTATTGCGCGGCGGTTGAACTTA